AGGTTCTTTTACTCCGAGGTAGGTTCTTTTACTCCGAGGTAGGTTCTCTTACTCCGAGGTAGGTTCTTTTACTCCGAGGTAGGTTCTTTTACTCAGAGAGTGGTTGGGGCGTGGAATGCATTGCTGGAGAGGGTTGTGGAGTCGACCTCGTTAGGGGCATTTAAGCAGCTATTAAATAAGCATACGGATGATAGTATAAGGTAGGGGTGGAGGTTAGATAGACCTTAGGTTTAGGGTAAAAGTTCGGCACAACATCATAGGCCGAAGGGCTGGTACTGTTCTGTGTTCTATGTTCTATGTTCATCCCATGTTCCTTACTTCTATCAGCCTTGCCCTACACACTAACACGAACACATTGTCTCTGAACACTTCTGTGTAAAACAAACTAGGACGGTTAATGGTGGGCCCCTGGATAATATTGTAGAACAGAGACCTAGGGGTTCAGGTACATAATTCATTGAAATTTGGGTCACGTGTAGAGAGGGTGGTTGAGAAGGTGTTTTGCGCACTTGCCTTTATTGCTCAGACCTTCTTGTAAAGGAGTTGGGACATCATATTGAGGTTGTACAGGACATGGTGGGTGTCTTCTGGGGTATTGTGTTCAGTTCTGGTCAGAAAAGATTTGCGAGGATGTTGCTGGGAATGGAAGGTTTGAGTTATAAAGCTAGGCTGGGGCTTGTTTTTACTGGAGTATCCAAGGTTGAAGGGTCATCTTATTGAAGTTTATAAAAGCAAAAGAGGCATAGAAAAGGGGAATAGTAAGGGTCTTTTCCCTAGCATGGGGATTTCAAAATCAGGAGGCATATTTTTAAGGTGAGAGGAGAAAAATTTAAAAAGGACATGAGGGGCAACTTTTTTTTACACAGAATGGTTCAGATCTGGAATGAACTGCCAGAGGAGGTGGTGGATGCATGTACAGTTACAACATTGGACAAACATTTGGCTAAGTATATCAATAGGAACAGTTTAGAGGGATATGGGCTAAATGCTGACAAGTGGGACTAGTTCCTCTGCAATTTGAGAGGGAGAAGATAGAATCAGAGGTACCGGTATTACAGATGAATAAAGGTGACTACAGAGGTATGAGGGAGTTGGGCAGAATTGACTGGAAGAGGAGCCTAGCAGGAAAGACAGTGGAACAGCAATGGCAGGAGTTTCTGGGAGTAATTCAGGAGACGCAGTAAAAATTCATCCCTAGGAAAAAGAAGCATGGTACAGGGAGGATGAAGCTGAAGTGCAAAGAGACTTGGGAGTCCTAGTCCAAGATTCTCTCAAAGTAAACCTGCAGGTTGAGTCAGTAGTCAGGAAGGCAAATGCAATGTTGGCATTTATTTTGAGATAATTTGAATATAAAAGCAGGGATGTACTACTGAGGTTTTATAAGACTCTGGTCAGGCCACATTTGGAGTATTGTGGGCAGTTTTGGGCCGCATATCTGAGGAAGGATGTACTGGCCCTAGAGCGGGTTCAGGGGAGGTTTACGAGAATGGTCCCAGGAATGCTTAACATATGAGGAACGTTTGAGGACTCTGGGACTGTACTCATTGGAGTTTAGAAGGATGAGGGGGAATCTAATTGAAACTTACAGAATACCGAATGGCCTGGACCGAGTGGATGTCGGGAAGATTCTTCCATTGGTAGGAGAGACTAGGACTCGAGGGTACAGCCTTAGATTAAAGGGAAGACCTTTTAGAATGGAGATAAGGAGAAACTTCTTCAGCCAGGGAGTGGTGAATCTATGGAATTCACAGCCACAGAAGGTTGTGGAGGCCAGGTCATTGAGTACATTTAAGACTGAGATAGATAGGTTCTTGATTATCAAGGGTTACAGGGAGAAATCAGGAGAATGGGGTTGAGGAGCTTATCAGCCATGATAAAATGGTGGAGCAGACTCGATGGGCCGAATGGCCTAATTTCTGCTCCTATGTCTTATGGTCTTATAGTTTAGTATGGGAATATGATTGGTAGGGGCTAGTTGGACCGAAGGGTGTGTTTGCATGCTGTATGACTCTGACTCTATACTAAAGTGTAATGTCTGTCCTAACTACCTGTCTACAAAATCTTACTTCCTGATGTCCACTCTTCTCGTAACTTCTTGTCTTCATTTATAATGGAAACAGGTCACTCTGTAATTATACCCTGCCAAACAATGGCACTGTAAAGGTTCAATTTTCCAATTTGGCAGAAGATGCCAGCTAACTCAGTAAAATGGGGGAGTTGGGTGTGTACACTTTGTGCTGAGTGTGGCAGAGCCAGTGAGAATTCATTTTGGGTTAAATCTGTTTGACACTGCAATGTTGACATGAGTTGGACCAGCCACTTTAAGATCATGATTTCTAATCTCTACTTCCTCTCTCCTCTTTATTTCTCTCTTTATCTCTCTCTTTACTTTTTGTTTTGCTTTAATTATTGGCTTAACCTGCAGAAATCCACCAGTTCAGCATCCTCCGAGGCTTCAGAAACCTGGAGGTCGGTTAGCGAATGCAGCTCTCCCACCTCTCTCTGCTCTGGCTACAAGACCGGGCTGTGGGCAGCAACCAGCAAGGTGATAACAGCCTGTTCCAAGCCAGGTTTGAGTGCTGGGTCCTGAGGGAAGGTCAGAATAACGCATGGGGAGGAATGGCTTCCGCCCAAGCTATGTAACTATGGAGCTGCAATAATTGGAACAGTGTATGTTGGGAAAGGGAATGGGTGAGCTGAGTGTTTGTCTGCATCATGTCTGGATGGATTCTTCTTCTTCCCTTTCTGGCACCTTTCAGTTTAGGAATCCAATGTGCCTTTCAGTGGGAGCTCAGCAATGAGTGGGGCTGAGATTGCAGGAAGTCTACTGGGGTGAAAGAAAGTATGTTCAGAGAGTGGAGATTAGAGATTAAGAATCCATTGAACAGAGAGGCTTAGCAAGAAGCTGTGAGGTGGCCACGAAGTGCTGAGCCTTTTTGTCCTGACGGTGACTGAGGCAGATCTGCAGACTGCTCCCGTTTGATTTGATCAACTGACACAGATTAATTGGTGACAACAAGGTGCAGGGCTGGATGAACACAGCAAGCCAAGCAGCATCATAGGAGCAGAGAGGCTGACGTTTCGGGCCTAGACCCTTCATCAGAAAAGGGGGAGGGGAAGGGGGTTTTGAAATAAATAGGGAGAGAGTGGGAGGCGGATAGAAGAGGGATAGAGGAGAGGATAGGTGGAGAGGAAACAAACAGGTCGAAGAGGCGGGGATGGGGCCAGGAAAGGTGAGTGTAGGTAGGGAGTTAGGAAGGGGATAGGTCAGTCCAGGGAGGACGGAGAGGTCAAGGGGGCGGGATGAGGTTGGTCGGTAGGAGATGGAGGTGCG